TAGTCATAGTTCTATAAGTGAGAAGTTCTGTAGGCCTAGAACTCAGTCTGAAATTGGTGTCAACTGTTCTGCATTCCTGTCTGGAAGCTCATTCAAGTTCTTAGAATTCATGTGCTTAGGGTTAGGGGCTGAGGACGATTGTCTTGCTCCCTGTTGATCTCTTTCAGCTCCGGGAAGCCACTTGCAGGTCCTTGCTGCAGGCTTCCTTCCATCTCAGCAACGGAGATTCTCCCTCACGTGGAATCCCTCTGAACACTTCAGATCTCTCTGACTTTCCTTCTGCCACCAGCTGGAGAACAGTGCTTGGAAAGAGCGCATGTGGGGCGCCTGGGTGGCTCCGTCAGTTAAGCATCTGACTCTTGATTTCAGCTCAGGTCATGATCTCAGGGTTGTGAGATCGAGCTCCGTGCTGGGTGTGGAGCCTGCTTAAGCCTCTCTCTCTCCCTGTCCCCCCTTAAAAAACAAATAAAATAAAGAGCGCATGTGATGAGGTCAGAACCACCTGGATAATTTCCCTGTGCTGAGGTCAGCTGTGCCGTGTAACCTTATCGCGGTCAGCATCGTCATGTTCACAGTCCTGAGGGTTACGCAGGACTTGTATGCAAGGGGATTGGGGAATACTGAGGGCCAGCTTCAAATCTGCCTCCCACACCATTCCTTTGCTTTTGACCTATCTTTGTCTTTATGCTCAGATCAAGCTTCTTCTAGATAGCATATGTAGTCTCTTTTTTATTCAGTCTTAGAGTCTCTACCTTTCCATTGATATGTTTGGCCATTTGCATTTATTAATTGAACAATGTGATTGAATTAAAATCTGCAGTCCTTTTGTTTCTTGTTTCTTCCATCTGTTCTTTTTTCCTTTTCCCCTCTATTTCCATTTTTTTAATTGAGTATTTTAAATTTCATATGACCTCCATTGTTGGTTTATTGTTTATATTTCCTGTATCACTTTTTGTAGTGATTCCCCTAGGCTTTACCATATACATCTGTAATGAATTAGTGTCTCTTCAAGTTATATTTACTGTATCACATAAGATATAAGAACTTTACAATAATATACTCCCAATTCTTCCCTCCCATCTTGTCGTTGTCACACTTTTTACTTTTACTTATATTGTGGGCCTATACTACATTTCTCTTGTTTCACTTCAGACAATTGTCTTTTTTTTTTATTTTAAGATTTTATTTATTAATTTGACAGAGAGAGTGTACAAGTGGCAGAGTGGCTGGCGGAGAGAGAGGAGGAAGCAGGCTTTCTGCTGAGCAGAGAGCCCAGTGCGGGGCTTGATCCCAGGACCTTGGGATCGTGACCTGAGCCAAAGGCAGACACTTAACCAACTGAGCCACCCAGACACCCTAGACAATTATCTTTAGAGCAGTTTAAAATAAGGTAGAGAATGTTATATTTTATATAAATAGTTTTATAAATTGTAATTTTTATAGTATATTTTATATATGTACAACAATAAATAACTATCAAATATATTTTAAACACTTTTTAAAAAATTTTATTTATTTGACAGAGAGAGAGATCACAAGTAGACAGAGAGGCAGGCAGAGAGAGAGGAGGGATGCAGGCTCCCTGCTGAGCAGAGAGCCGATGTGGGGCTCGATCCCAGGACCCTGAGATCATGACCTGAGCTGAAGGCAGAGGCTTTAACCTGCTGAGCCACCCAGGTGCCCCTCAAATATATTTTATATTAACCTTTATTTTAGTCATCGCTGGAGATCTTCATTTCTTTGTATAGATCCATGTTTCTATCTGGTATCCTATTCCTTCTGCCTGAAGAACTTCCTTTAATATTTCTTGTAGAGCAGGTCTGCTCTTATGAATTATCTCTGTTTTTGTCATTTTTGAAAGATATTTTCACTGGGTGTGGAATTACAGGTTCACAGGATTTTCTTTCAGTGCGTTACAGGGGCCTGTTTGTTTGGCTGTTAGTGTGCGGGGTTGAGGCCGTCTGGTCAGGAGCGGTGCTGGGTTCGGGTTTGCTGTTTCGGTTACCTTTATTATACCTTTACCTTCCAATTCCTGTAGCATTACCGTGAGCTGTTTCCTGGTATGTGTAGGTTCTGACAAGAACTCTACTGTGTCTCTTTATTCCCATGCGTGTAATGTCTCATTTCTTCCTGAATGTTTACACCATTTCATCTTTGGTTTTTAGGTGTTGAATATGATGTGTCTTGATGTTTGTTCTTGGTATTTTTCCTGCTTGGGTTCTCCGGGCGTGTAGGCTCCCATACACTGTTTACTTGTACCCTCCAGCTTCTAGATTCTGTTTGGTGTCTTTAAGTCTTTTCTTTTTCTGTATCAGTTTGGGGAATTTGTAGCGGGTGAGACTGATCTGTCTTCTAGTTCACCAGTTCTTTCCTGCACTGCAGTGTCGAGTCTCTCGATGAGCTTGTTGAGGTCAATCTGCCTATTTGCTACTGTGTTTTTAGTTCTAACATTTACATTTGGCTTTTATAGTTTCCAGCTCTGTAGTCGAGCTGCTCATTTGGTTCCTACATTTTGTCTACTTTTTCTGGTAGAGCCTTTAATATTTTAGTTATTTTTTATTTAAAGATTTTATTAATCAGAGAGGGAGGGGGCACGTGAGCAGGGGGAAGGGCAGAGGGAGAAGCACACTCCTCGCTGAGCAGAGAGCCGGGTGCGGGGCTGGATCCCAGGACTCCAGGATCATGACCTGAGCTGAGGTAAATGCTTTGAAATGACTGAGCCACCCAGACCCCTAATGTATTAGTTACTTTATTTATTTATTTTTTTTTTAAAGATTTTATTTATTTATTTGACAGAGAGAGATCACAAGCAGGCAGAGAGGCAGGCAGAGAGAGAGGAGGAAGCAGGCTCCCTGCTGAGCAGAGAGCCCGATGCGGGGCTCGATCCCAGGACTCTGAGATCATGACCTGAGCCGAAGGCAGCGGCTTAACCCACTGAGCCACCCAGGCGCCCCTATTAGTTACTTTAAATTCCGTAACAGTTCTGACATCTGGGTCATCCCCAAGGCTTTCTCTGTTGATCGCTTTGTCTCTTCATAGTGTGTTGTGTTTTTCTTCTTTTGTGTGCATGCGTATCTCATAATCTTTAATTGAGTCTTAGACATTACAAGTAGGACAGTAAAGAGTGAAGTGAATGGTGTTTGTGCCTAGAAATGGGCATGCTTCCAGTAAGTTGTTAGGATGGTGTCGAGTCAGTCTAGTTAGGAGTTAAGCTCACCTAGATTCTGTTACTGCTCTCCTTCCCTTCACTGCACCACCAGCCTCTTGCTCCCATCCGCGGAGAGTAGGGGCTGAGTTTCCGGAAGGTAGTTCTCCGTGTTCCTGTTCTCCCCTCAGCTTTGCAGCCTTCCCCCTATTTCTGTTCCTCAAAGGGAGTCTCTCGCTGCTCCTGCCTTTCCCAAAACAGTAGATTCCTGTTGCTTCCCACTTGGGGCAAGGAAGGTTGGGAGGGCATTCTCTGTTGTCCTGGTTCACCTTCAGTCCCTGTGGCCCTGCCTGTCCCACAGGATGAGATTTTTCTTTTTTTCCTTTTCTCTTTTCACCATCCCAAATGGGTCCTTGAACAAGTAGGAAGTAGGATTTGCAGACCTACACCCAGTCTCTTAAGCCTTTTATTTCGTTGAGGAGAAGGGCTGGGCTAGGCTTTATGCTTTTTTTTTTTTTTTGCGATGTTGGCCACTCCGCTGCTCCCAGCTTGCACCGGTGAGGGAGACTTTCTCCCACCTCTTGCTCTGAACTAGTCTCGGTCAGGAGCGCACTCTGGAGGTTTACTGAGAACAGCCTGCAGGGCGTGCACTCCCCGGCGTCTGTGGCTAGCCCCCACTTGGCTTGTAGCAGTTGGTTAAACATTTTAGCCGAACTCTTCTGACCTGTCCCGATGGTATCCGGTGTCTGTTCTTCCTGGGCCCTGTCTCAGGCAGGCAGGTGCTCAAGTGCACTTTCTCCTTCGGGGTGGGGGGAGCTTCTCTTCCCTTAGATTTTATTCTACTTGGTTGCCCCGTGACCTCTGTTCTCGGATGACTTCACAGAAAGTCATGCTGTTTGTAGTTTTTCTGGCTTTTCTTGTTAGGATGAGCCCAGTGTTCTTTCCAGCTTGCACTCTTCCGGGGGGATGCCTCAACCTCCTGGCCTGCAGTGATCACAAAAACAAAACAAAACCCGACACCAAGCCCCCTAGATGCTGGGCTCTGTGCTGAGTGAAGGGGAATTAAGCTTTGAGGAATTCTCTCTCCCAGCATTGTAGTCTTGGTAGGAGGGTCATTCTCCAGCACATTACCTAAGCTTCCCCGGTGGGAGACTTTGCTTATAACTGGAATCTTAAGCGAGTATCTCCAGGTGGAGAGAGAGGTGGGAGGTAAGCAGGCACACGGGGCCCCCTTGCACACCCCCAAGATGATACTCCCGTGGCTTTGCTGTCCATGCCCTTGTGGCCTCTCCATCCGCATCTGGTTCTCCGGGGTCATGTCCATTTTGTGTGCCTCTGACAGTCTTCTGATGAATTCCTTTTTGCTGAAGTTAGTAGAGCTCCTAGTCTGTCATGTACAACCGAGAACTTCCACCTTGGGAAACGTATAGGCTGGAAGGGGAAGCACAGTACCCAGAAAACACAGAAATGCTGAGTGCAGAGCAAATTCGTGCTGCCGCGTATGGACCGGCCGGGGGGTCAGCCGACTTGTTCATAAAAGGCCAGACGGTAAATAATTTCAGTCTTGTGGCCATATGGTCTCTGTTGCAGCTACTCAGCTCTGCCATCCTCGTGCAGAAGCGGCCGTGGACAGTATGTAAACAGATGGGAGCAGCTGTTCCAATAGAGCTGTTTACCCAGGCAGGCAGCCGTGGGTCACCCGCTCCCGCTCCAGGCCACTGTGTGCATTTAGAGGAAGACTAGAGACAGTCTGTGTATCTCCCGGTTCTTTGCAAAGGCCAGAGTTTCAAGTGTCAGGGTCCTTTTGCCTGAGGATTAACTGACATCATTCTTTCTGCCCATTCTTCTCTTGCAGAAGCGAAACCAGCCCCAGAGATATTTGAAAATGAAGTCATGGCACTGCTGAGAGACTTTGCTAAAAATAAAAACAAAGAGCAGAGACTGCGCGCCCCAGATCTGGAATACCTCTTTGAAAAGCCACATTGAGCTGTGCACCAGCGCCCGCCGTGGGGGCTCCATCCGTGGACCCTAACTTAGGATAGATCCCGGCCTTGGCTTCCTGCTTCTCCTGAGACACTCAGCCCACCCAGACCGTTTGTCTTGTTTCACATGATGGACCCATCTCTCAGGACATGTAAATACTGGGTGTGACTCATTCTCACACTTTGTTGGTTTAGTTTTAAGCCTAAAAGCAGTTGCTGGTGTTGCCGGCACTCGGGCCTGTTGCTCTGGCTCCGGTCTCCCGAGTCGGGCCTCTGCCACAAGAGGGCAGTGTCGGGACGCGATGGTGCTCCCCCGTAGCTTCCGCCAGAAGTGTGTGCCCTGCAGAGACAGCCCGCTGCGGGGGCTGGGTAGTAAGCTTCCCAGAGCAGCCCAGGGCTTTGTTCAAGTGAAATCTGCTCCCCCCTTCCCCCCCAGGTAGAGTCCTTCCTCCTGGGGCAGCAGACCCAAGCCCCCTGAGCTGACTCTTTCAGAGGCACGGCGGGCAGAGCGAGGGCGGCAGGCAGAGATGTGTGGGCTTGCTGCTGACGAGTCCACATCCTCCTCCTCAGATTTTCTCACGAACGTTCACTCTGTACACTGAAAGATAATTAAATATTAAAGAATATTTTATGAAGGAGAAATCACAGTTCCCGGCCCTCACACAATTATTTTAATTCTGTCTGTCCTCATATAATCCACAGTCACTTGTCTCCAGAGTTATATAAGGTGACAGCCACAGGATTGATTCCTGTATGGCATGATGGCAAGCTTTCTCTGTCTTTCTACAGTCTTCCCGGTGATTGTAGTCGACGAATCAACAACACATAAGCAATAACATCTTAGAATGAATCGTTTGGCATTGCTGAGCTCCGGGGCCAGGAGACTAATGTGTGTCTAGCAGTGGTCTCCCTGGAAGGATTTGCTCTCAGAACTGTAACCCAGTCATCACTGTCGCCCCCCGGGCTGGGCGGGGACCATTCGAGGTACAGACCTCAGAAAGCAGGCCAGGGGGGAGAAGCACGGGGTTGGTGATCACAGGAGATGCTTGCGGAGAGGCAGTGCTTGCTTCCAGCATCCTGGAGCTGAGGGGTTCCTGGAGAGCCTCGTCCCGGTCCTCTTTGCCCCTCAGTGTCCCTGGCTAAGGAGAGAAGAGAAGAGAACTAGCTTTTACTTATGGGACCCCGTGAGAGCCTCTTAGCACCCTTATGGACAAGTGGTGTTATGCTAATTTTGTAGATGAGAAAGTGGGCTCAGAGAGCAGTTGTCCAACACGGCCCCCAGCGCACTTGGCTCTCAGTAGCTATTCGGTGTCCACACTGGGTCGAGGCCTCAGCCGGAGACTTAAAAGCCGTGTCCTAATACCAGTTGCCTGGCATGTCACCTGTGCAGGCGGGAAAGCTGAGCCCGCTGGAGAACCATGGGGGTGTCTCGCCAGCCAGGGAGGAAAAAACGCCCTGGGGGCGAGAAGCAGATGTGGGAGTGACAGCTGGGAGGCAGAAGCAGGGCCCTTAGAGAGGTCCCTGGGGGCTTCCTGCAGACTCTGGTCACGTGGGGCCTCGTTTGAGGCACTGGGCAGAGGGTGTTAAGCAGCCCGAGAGTTTGTGGGGCGCCCTGGACTGTAAGACGTGCACACAAATGGGCAGCGACTTGCCCATACATCCCAGATGCTGCTGTGGCCCTTCCTGGTGGCCTAGTGGGCAGCCTGGGCCTTTCCCCCCGGGGGGGTTCGAGGTGTTCTGACCCTGATTTTGTCTCATTTAACGTAATGTTCAACAGTTGCCATTGTCCCCTGGGACTGGCATGCTTCTGAAGAATTGTTTTCCTCCCAGGCTGCTGGCTTGTGTCCCCTCAGAAGGTGAGGGATCTTGCTAACTTCAGCCGCTCGGCATCAGACCCAGGGATGCTATGTAAACAGTTTTTCCCTTTATGGGGCACTAACTAAAACTAGGCCGGCCACAGCGCAGTTTTTAAAAATTAATAAACACATAGCGAGGGCCAGCAGCCCCCCAAGGATCTGTGGGGAACAGGAGCCGGCCCCATCTCTCTCAGTCTGACACTAAACTGCTCGGTGACCTCATTCTGAGCCAGGGCCCTGCTCTGTCCCATCCGAAGTGAGTTCTGCCGCCCAGGCTGCCTCGTGACCTGTCCCACTGGCTCACAAAGGCTGTCCTCTTCCCAGTCTCGTGTCTCGGTCACTCCCAGTCTCCCCAGTGCACCAGCCACACCCCTTTGCCCGAGCTCTGTGCCTTGGAGGGGATGTGCTGGGGTCATTGTGGAGGTGTCTCGTTCTGGCTTTGGGCTTTCTGGAGGTCATCTGGTCTGTCTCGTCACTCCAGCCAGGGGGGCACAGTCACAAACCTCGTTCATATTTTTAAACATCACCAGGAAAAGAGATTCTGCTGGCAGAGTTGAGAGTCTAACGTTTATCTGTCAGTCCATCCACCACGCTGCCGTGGCTCGAGGAAGAGGAAGGGTTCACGATGCAGAAGTCAGGCAGCCTTAAGGGGCCAGCAGGTGCCAACAGCACCCCATTAGCCCAGCCGGCCGTGTCTGAGAGGGTGGGCCTGCCATCCTGCAGCTCTCAAGGGAACGGGGCCCGTCTGTGGGACACAGGTCTCCCAGGGAGCCCTCTGGGAGCGAGGAAAGGTGCCAGATCTTCCCCAGCCAGCTAAAGTGGCCTTGGGACAGGTGGCCTGAGGCAAGGGGTGCTCTTGCAGCTTTAAGGAACACGGGTCTGTCAGCAGTCTGACATTTTAAGGGGGATTACGGAGAAGTGGAAGCTATCCAAGATAAGAGGCTTGAAAGGGAAAGACGTGCAGAGAAGAAATCTACCACTTCGTAACCCACAATCGCAGGGAGAAGAGTCACGATCTTTTACAGGGTCCCAGGTCTTGCCTGAATCCAGATAACTCCTGCCAAGGACGAGGTTGTTTTCTTTAAGAAGGGCGCCGTGAGCGCAGCTTACATAACGACCCATCACAGCCCGTAGTTGTAAAGCGAGCGATGACATTAAGATGAGCAGTGTGTTTGCCAGTGGATTTCAGGTCATTTAGTTAGTATCGAGAGAAGTGTTCACCTTCCGCGAGGCGCTGGGACCCATGGTGAGGGCAACTAGAGCGGGGCAGATCCCTTCTTGAGAGATCGAAGGAAGACTCCGGATGGCCCATTCATTAGCCGGGCGCGCACGTCAACTGAACCTCTCCGCCGCTCCGTGTCTTTTTTAGTAAAAGGGAAAGAAAAGGAACTTCCCTGCATGTGTGGGCATGAGGACCAAATGAGGTCGCACACGGAAGGTGCCTAGCACAGGACCTGGCACCTTAGCAACGCTGTTGCTAGGTCGACCTAGCAACGTGCTCTTTGCCGACGCGGGCCCAGCGCTGCTAAGAGCATCATAAGGACTCCGGCCGAAGGCGCACCATGGCCACAGGAGATAAGTGGGGTTGTCGTTCCCCTTCCACAGGTGAGAAAAGTGAGGCCTGATGAGCTAGAAAGCCACTTGCGCAGAGTCACAGAGGGGAAGCATTTGAAGGCAGGCCTTGGGCGGATGTGGGCGGATGGCGTTGGCTACATCGCGGGCAAACGGGAACGCCATCGCCAGCCCTCCCCCGAGGCTGGCTTCTGGATCTCGTTGTAGTCCGTGGAGGACTGCTGCTCGGACTTGGTGGAGACCCTCCCTCGGTTCCCTGCTGGGCCCCGGGCCCGGACTCTTGCAGACATGACGGCATGGCCTCAGCAGCTCCAGGCTTAACCCCCTGAGCCCTCCTAGCAGGACCGGTGCCACCTCCCGATGATGGTTTGGAGTTGAGCGGCACTTTGGATTTGGGGAGCAGTCAGAGGGCAGGGCTCAAACTGCCCTGTGTCGAGGGATCTGGGCGCGCCTCCAGCAGCAGAGGTGAGGTTTGAAGCTTTCTGGATCTCCCCATCACCATCCGTCCTTTCCCTCCGAGCTGGAGGCCAGCTCTGTTTGCTGGGCATGGCTGGCCGGGAGGGCCACACAAACCCCGTTCCAGGATACAGAGATGAGTTGCTCAACCTCCCGCACAGCCCTGGCTCCTGTGCTTTTGCTGACAACCCAGTGCTGGCTCCTCCGAGCCAGAGACTCTGATGCCAGGCCCCTGTGAGCGGGACCCTCACTCTCCTGTGTTTCTTGGCTCCCACCCTCTCATCAGGGTCCCACAGACATGAGACATTTTTGTAGATATTGCACTAGATAACGTGTCTCCCAACTTAAGTAGAAAAAGGCAGTTAAAGATGCCCAGACTTTAATTTTAAAGACGCACTGTGATGGCCTTCACGGTGTTACACATCAGCAAAATTTGGTAAACCTGTTGTGTTCTCTGACTTGAGAGGAACCCCACATGCCTTCCAAGCTGCCAACCCACGGAGAAGAGGTTGGAAAGCCAGAAGCTAGTCCTTTCTGTCGGCTACTTCTGTCTGCGTTTGGACGAGAGTTACGAGGAAGAGATGAGCTCAGGAAAGAATTACGTGGTGTTCAAGTAGTAATGAAGGGAAATAGAATCCAGAGATCCAGGGCCTTCCAGGGTTGAAAAATCTTCTATGCCCTAAGTAGAAAAAGATGAGATTAAAAAAAAAAAAAAAATTGAGGGCCACAAAAACCCGGTGAAACTTTTCCCTCGGATAAAGTGCCTCAGGACAGGACCAGACTAGGGCATATCTCCTTTTTATCATTCCAAGTACCCTCAACACAGCCATTGAGGAGAGGAGAGGTACAGAGGGGAACCAGCAAGACAGGTTATGTGCTAGAACTGTCTGGGAAAAGACTTCGGGTGAGTGTGACTGGGGGGCCACAGAACTGACTAGAAGCAAGGGGGTCTGTGACAAGTTGTGTTGCCGACAGAACCGTGAGCTGCGGGTGCCACAGTTTGCAGCTGTGAAAGGACTTACCACGCATGAGCAGGAGGGGGAGTCCACAGCCCCCCGGGGGGACAGGCCGTGCCATGCCCATTTCAGAGATGGTGGAGGAGGAGGCCCGCGGGTAGAAGAGCTGGGCCAATGCCAACTGTGAGCGCAATCTCCTGCAAAGCAGGACCAGTGAGCGAAGGAGCCTCAGTGCAGTGCCGTCCCCGCCCCACACCGGATGGGCCCCCCAGCGTCCGCGTGCCTGTCTTTCCAGTTGTGGGTCCCTGGCCCAGGATGAGCTGCATGGGATGGGAAGAGGCTGGTGTACCAGTGTCACCGGAGACCCCAGGCTTCGAGCCAGGTGCAGGGACTGGACAGACTTAGGGTGGCGTCCCTTGGGGAGAATGTGAGTGTGCCATGCGTGAGAAGAAAGACTGGCTGGTTTGGCACACAGAAGGTGGGGTTGCAGCGGAGACTACAGGGTCTACCCGCCCCACTGCCACCTCTTCCTGACCAAGCAGGGAGACGACATGGCCCCAGCCTGTCTTCCGTAAGGCCGGGGCTGCATGGTTGGGACTGGCAGGTCGGGCGCGGGCAGAAGTAAGGAGAGCCACTTTCAGGCCTGGCCCTTAGAAACACTCCGACGAGGCAACCGGGGGGCTCAGTCGGTGAAACATCTGCCTTCAGCTCAGGTCACCATCCCAGGGTCCTGGGGTCGAGCCCCACATCTTGCTCCCTCTTCCGCGGGGAGCCTGCTTCTCCTCTCCCACTCCCCCTGCTTGTGTT